AAAAAAAAAAAAAAAAAAAAATCCAGGCCTTCTGGGTCAGGTCAGGTCCTCCAGAGAGCAGATGCAATACTGAGATAAAGCTAGGGGTAATGCCTGTGACAGAGAAGGAGAAATAAGCAGGGTTGGGCAAGGAGACTCAGATCTGATAGACAGGTCAACCCATCAGGAAATTCCAGAACAAAAAAAAATGAGAAGTCCCCTTGGGCAGAAGTATCCAGGTTCCAATGCTCTCACCACATTCAGCCATTTTGTAAAGGCAGATCCAAGCGGCTTCTGTGGCTGCCACATTCTCCTATATTAAATTCAAGAACCAAGACTGTTCCCCAAACACTCTATTGCATGCTCTTCCAACATCTTGCACACACTTTTATTTTGTTTTTGTGGGGTTTTTAGTGTGTTTGTTTGTTTGTTTGAGGTGGAGTCTCCCTCTGTCACCCAGGCTGGAGTACAGTGGCACTACCTTGGCTCACTGCAATCTCCACCTCTCAGATTCAAGTGATTCTCCTGCCTCAGCCTCCTGGGTAGATGTGATTACAGTCCTGCACCACCATGCCTGGCTAATTTTTGTATTTTTAGTAGAGATGGGGGTTTCACCATATTGGACAGGCTGGTCTTGAACTCTTGATCTTGGGTGATCTGCCTGTCTAGGCCTCCCAAAGTGCTGGGATTACAGGTGTGAGCCACTGTGCCCGGCCTGTTTTTGTGTATTTGAGATACAGCCTTGCTCTTTTGCCTAGGCTGGGATGATATGTAAGACTAATATGACGTCTACCTTCTTGAATCTAAAGGTGCAGGCATGAAGGATGAGTAGCCTCACACCAGTTGTGTGGAACAGCATGTGCAAAGGTATGTAGACAAGACATTTAATCCTGACCACAATCCTGACCACTGTTAGCCCCTTTTATAACTGGAAACGTTGAGAGTCAGAGAGGTTGAGTTACCCAAGGTCATACAGCTAATAAGAAGGGAAACTGGAATGGGGAGGCTTATGCCAAGGCCTGGTTATGAAACAGCTAGGTGAAACTGTTACTACTTAGACTAATTCCAGGGCATATGCTTGTCCACTTCTCCAGAGGTCTAAAACCTTTATTTTTCTTTCTTTTTTTTTTTTCAAGATGGGGTTTCACCATGATGGCCAGGCTTGTCATGAACTCCTGACCTCAGGTGATCCACCCACCTCGGCCTCCCAAAGTACTAGGATTACAGGCGTGAGCCACTGTGTCTGGCTAAAACCTTTATATTTCAAAGCTGTGTGATCTGGAGGCACCCACTGAATGGGCAAGTTTCTCAATCGTATGTGGAGTTCTAAAAAGAAGTGAAGCCTCAGAGATCAGTGCTGGTGAACTCGAACACTCAGGCCCTACCATGGATTTCCTCATGTAAATAATTCCTAAACCCCCATTTCCTCCCTGGCTTCCTTCCTCCCTCGACTCTCACCCCAGAGGAATGAAACTTGGTGTCTAGTTCAGGCTGCGACCACAAAATACTATAGACCGAATGACTTATGAACAACAGAAATCTACTTTTCACAGCTCTGGAGGCTGAAAGTTCAAGATCAGGGTGCCAGCACAGTCAGGTTCTGGTCAGGGCCTTCTTCTGGGTTGCCGACTGTTAACTTCTTGCATCCTCATATGGCTTAAAGAGGGCAAGAGGGCTCTCTGAAGTCCTTTTTTTTTTTTTTTTTTTTTTTTT